CTCTTAGGCAGTCAGTGGGCCCCCTCTTACGAAAATTTCTGGATCCGCCACTGTCATACACAAAACTTCCAAACAAAAAATAACTTTACTTCAAAATAGTACTATGTTCGACCACTGTAAACTGTGGATTGAGTGATTATATAGTAGTTGCCCCCTAAAATCTAATTTGCTAACGAAACTCGCTTAATGCATAATTAACTACCAAAGAAATACGCACATTATATGAGCCAACAGTCATCATTAGAAGGGATAGAATATTAACAATCGCCTCATCATTGTTCTATTTAACTAAATCAATATCACATATTTAAAGAAGACATTACGATAACTCAAATCGTGTTATGATGACTTTCTATTTACAAAATTACCTACACTGTAAAAGTCGTGCTTAGAAATTAAACACTTGTATTACATGTTTAGATCTAAACGTGTTTAGGATTGTGTTTAATTTCTAAACACATTTCTCAGTAAGCACATACTATCTAAACATGTCTTGAATTTAAACACTTTTAATGTGTTTAAAAATGAAAGTGTTTAGAAATTAAACACTTTTTTCTAAGCTAAACACGATTCTAAACACAATCCTAAACACATTGTACTGAGACACGTTTGGATCTAAACATGTAAAAAAAAGTGCACAAAAGATGTGCTTAGAAATGTGTTTAGGATCTAAACACCATTTTTACAGTGTAGCGATCAAAAATATACTTATTTTTATTAGAGCATATGCGTTTTACGAAACACTTATGAACAAAGATAAGGCCTTTGTTACAGCTGTTAATTGGTGCTAAAATGGTTTAGTTCTTCTAAGAAATTGAATGAAGGTTTATATATGTTTTGCAAGTCAGCTAAGCAAATGTGTTTAAAGAATAATCCTTCTTAGTTCTTTCCCTCGCATTTTATTTTTTTCCGCGGTCACCATAATGAATCAAATAAGATCTTAAGAAGAGCACATTGTTTAATTACTTTATTTTAAATTTACCATAAAAATTCGATTAATCCTATTTCACAGCTTCGAAAACGTGATAAGAAGCCATCTTGCAACAGTCCCGTGCAACGACTTAACAATTGGTGATTTCCACCAATTAAAACGCACGCAGGATATTTTTTTGAAAATACCAAATCAATTAAAATTTGGCAGATAAACAAAATACACGCCAACGTAAATATTTAAATAGAAACTGTCAATCAATACATCTTCTTTTAAACTTTTAACAATGCCAAGACTTATGGATTATGTATCAGGCTTTTAAAATATTTTGATGTCTCAATTCTCTGGACTTAATACTTTAGCTATGTTTTTAACGTAATAAAATCAAGTTCATTCCGGAAATTTTTAATATGCTCTCTGAAAAATTAATGCAAGTGTAAAAAAAAGCTTTATACGGTTATTTTTGTTTTATTCACTTATTCAAATTTCATTTTTTAAATAATTAATAATAAAGGATTGCTTTAAAACTTGAACTTTAGTATAGTGCATTCCTGAATTCAGTATAAAGGAAATACAAACTGTTTAAATGATTTTAACAACATTGATTTGAACTCCTACAGAACTGTGTTTTTTTTCTTGCAAGGAAATATTTATTAAAATTGCTTCGGGTAATAAAATCATCATTTGAAAGGATTATATTCCTTTCTGAAGGCGTTATCCGATATCCATTTCTCTGATTTGCATCATATTTATTTCTTTTATTTTCCTGTTTTTTTTGTCATAATGATATAATATCAACTCTAAAACAACAGTCGAACAGAAAATTACTCAATACCTCCTTTTTGTGCTTTGTTCCGTGTTGTAAGCGATATTTTTTTTTCTTTTGATCCGTGATGTAAGCGACATTTTATATTTTTCTACCACAGACGACATGGAAAATTACCTTTGATTTACATAAATACATTTTTGATATAAAAGTGATTAAAAGATTTGTACATTTGCACTGTTTAAGAGTCCCAACGAACAGTTTTTATTTGTAAGAGAAAAAAGAATGCATTTATACCGTAACATTCCACATACATCAATAACCACGCTTATTGCAAACTTTCAACCATTTTAATTTAACTCCATGTCAGCCTTTAGCATTAGGCGTAAGAAAGAATTAATTTTGATAGGAAAATCGCAGCCGACATGTAAAAAAGACTTAATCCAAATGGTAATAAGATACTCGAATTGTCGTCTGCAAGCTAGAAAGTCAATATTTAATAACAGTTTTGACACCTTCCGGTAGCATTTGTATTCAATCATATCTCACAGACTTAACAGAAAACGTCAAACATAATAATTACGTCATTAATATACGAGAACATTGCATGATGGGAAATATTAGATATTCCTAGCAATTCTAACGATGTTTATTTAAACATATCATTTTCTATCAAGAGGTTATTAATCCTATACAAGGAAGTCACAAAATATCTAAATCGTGTTAATAGCAGAAAATAGACTAAAATAACTGTTTGAAGACTTGATTTGAAACATTAATTATAGATTGTGTTAAAATATAATATTCAAAATAGAAAAACAAAAAACAAAAAACCCAAAACAGGGAAAGAAAGAAAATAATTTGTTCACACTTAGTGAAAAATTGTAAAGGATGTAAAACCACACCTTTCCCATTTCCTTTCCCCTTCTAGTGTTGTTAAATTGCTTGAATAGGTGATATACGTACTTCACATTTTAAATTTTTTTAAATAGATCAATAACACAATTTTTGTTTCAAAGTTATTTGTTTGTATTGCTCATTTGGCTAAAAAAAAAAAAGAAATACCAACTCCCGTTGCTCGCTGAGTTATGTGCATGACGTTTCAACCTACGTGCATGACGTTTCAACCTTCTAACAGCTGCAGTTCAATATGTTGTCAATATAATGGAATTTTATGCGACTGTCATACAAGTGCGAAGTTTAGCTAGCTATAAAACCAGGTTTAATCCACCATTTTCTACTTAAGGAAATGCCTGAACCAAGTCAGGAATATGAGTTGTTTTCCATTCGTTTGATGTGTTTGAGCTTTTGATAAGGGACTTTCCGTTTTAAATTTTCCTTGGAGTGTTTTTATTTTCTTTTTTGGGGGTTTTTTTTTTTTACTTTTTTCTTTATTGTTGGCGATATTAGATATTCATAAATTTTTTCATGGAATTTTATTTTTTGAGTAAATTAAATACCTTTTAAATCCTGTTCAATATTTCTCAATATGCGGACAATTCTAACTTCTGATATGTGTGCGATTTAATTAACCATGATGGCAAAAAGTTTTGCACAACTTATTCTTGAAGTTGACGCCATTATTAATTTATGTAACAAATTTTCAAATGTGTAAAAGACATTTAGTTACTATAATGGTTGAAATTTTATGTAGAAACGTAAAATCTAACCTACAAAATTGCTGTGTTCATTATGAACTTCCAGAGCGATCGAAATTGTTAGACGATAAAAATCTGTATCTGTAAAAACATCCGTTGAGCTCTGTACTAAACAAAGCAACGACAACAAAAAAACTGAGTTGCAAAACAACTTTTTATACATTGTGACTTGGGATGGAGAGTTGTCTCATTGGCACTCATACCACATCATCTTATTTATATTAGCTAAAATACTAACTCAAGCATTTTTTTTTGTTAAATATAGCTAGATATAAGATATAAAAACGTGACCATGTAAGATTTAAAGCAGCATCTTTGATAAACACCTGCAATATAAAATCGATTTAGATAACCGCTTGTTGGTCGTTTATGGAACTCAGTTGTTAGAGAATATATATATAAGTAATAAACTCGATGTTTGCCTAACGTCCAGTGGAAAATAGTTCATGCATAATAATCTTGATTTGTGCATACAATGATTTTAATCCGAAATGCGGCACATCTGTAGCAAAATATCCCGATTGTTATCATCAAGCCCAACCCTCATCCTTGTCTTCTGAAGTTAATAAGTTTGTGGTTTGGTTCTTAGTTATACCAGCTTCACTGAACCATGAACAGTGAACTTCTTGATTTCAGTTTTAACATGTTGGTATATGTAAGGGTTTATTTATCACACTCCGTTGTAATTTGGTGCGTTATCCGTACACTACGTATACATACACGACTTGGATGGAGAGTTGTCTCATTGGCACTCATACCACATCTTCTTATATCTACGTATACATACCTTTTTGTTGTACTTTGTCTTATTTTTATACATATTGTCCGTAAGTTTCTTATTTCTCGGGATGGTGCATGCACTTAAGGTGAATGCATACTCTTAATATAATGTTTCCGTTATCTTTCTGATGGATACATGTGTTCTCTTAGTCTGGAATCATGTATATGTGTTATCTTAATCTTGAACCATGTACATATATTATCTTGATCTTCATATTGCATGTTTTCTTTATCATTTATGGATACTCAACATGACATTTTATTGTAAAGTATCGAATATATTGATCCAGATGGACAAAAAGAACCACGTGATTGATACATGTATCTGACCTGAAGAAAACATCAGTAAGGAATTTGTATTCTCAATTTGTTGTGTTGAAGCGATATTTGAATTATAAACTTCATCAACAACGCAGAGCCAAAAGGAGAAAAAATATATATAAAATATAATATAATATGGAGAAATCTAGTTAAATTGGATGTTGAACGAAAAAAAAAATCCTTTTCAATCGCCTGAGAGAGTTTAATCCTTACTTTTTTTTAAAGATTACAAAATCGATATTAAAGAATTTATCAAAACACGTTCGATATAATCATGAAAACAGAAAAGACTGAAATTATTAGGGGTTCCGTATGTTATACCTGGGCACGTGAACTTGGTATGATCTCCCTATTTTCAATATATTTTTGATATTGTTAATTATTTTTTTCGACAAATGACCTCCAGAGTCGAATCTTAGTTTTTTGATGAATCTATCAACTTATTTACAAAATATGAGCATTAGATTATATTACCCTTAATTATAAAAATAAGATGTGGTACAATTGCCAATGAGACAACTCTCCACCAGAGACCAAATGTCATAGAAGTTAACAACTATAGATCACCGTACTTCAACATTGAGCAAAACCCATACCGCATAGTCAGCTATAAAAGGCCCCGAAATTACAAATGTAAAACAATTCAAACGAGAAAATTAACGGCCTGATTTATGTAAAAAAACCAATGAACGAAATACAAATATGATATACAGCAACAAACGACAACCACTTAATTGACCTTTTGTAGGTTTAATTAAATGACTGTATATGTGTCCATTTACTTCGCAGGAAATTTTCAGTTGTCAAAATAATGTAATATTGTAAACTTCTGTACTGGCGTCGACTATCACAAATGCTTTGTCGAATTAGAAAAATGTCCTGAGACAAAAATCTCACGGTTACTTTCTAAAGAATAAAAATAATCAGATGAAATAACTGTATCTCCCAATCAACACGGGTGTACTGTCGTATTTTTGGAGTAATTATTCAAATATTCTGTCATTATTTGACCTGTAACAGAATATTAGACGTTTTCTCCTAGCTTTAATTATATTTGACTGACAATTTAATATTTCTGAAGCTGTATCTTTCGCCGACAAACAATGTTCCATTTCAACGCCAGGAAATTAAAATGGCTTCTAATTTGACGAAACATATTACCTCAATACAAAAGAGTTCTTTTTGCTGTTTTGTCGACGAGCTGCTGACAACACTGACAATCTGGCTAAGATTGTGTAGATTCTTTAGGAATCATCAACAAGAAAATCCTATCAAATTAGTGTAAATAATAAATCTGTTTTACTTGACCACGAATCGTTTGTACTATTCTCCTGTTCCGACATAGAACTTTCAATCTCAAAAACCGATAAAATCGACAAGCCAAATTAATCCATTACTTTTGATGGATATGAAAGACGCGGGAATTCCACAAAAGTTTCGCCTATTGTGTACAAATATACACAATGATATGACCAATTTTACACACGGAAAATGTTCTGTACGGTTTTGTTTAGAATGTAATAGTATAAACACATCGTCTTTCTGAATTGATATAAATTCATTTGTAATTGATAATTGCATGGAATAGACAGTCTTCTGCAAAAATGCATTTTATAAATAACTTTGTCAATCGCCATTTCATGCACTTTTTGATTTAGCTGAAGGATAATTAATTTTTCAATTTGTTCATTGTTTTGGAACAATTGCTTCGAATAATCAACCACCCACATCATCACAGTTCGACCACAAGCGGAGATAATTGTTATTTTGAACCTATCGTCAAAACAATGTGTCCGACTGATGCCACCATCAAAAGTCAAGCTTCAGATGGATTTTAAAATTTGATTTTAAGAAATCATCTTAACGTTTTAACTTTATCGAGTCTGTCATTATACTAGTAAAATCACATAGTTCATTATATTGTGGTTCTTAATGGAAGCTCAAGCTACCTGGTCCTATTGATTTTCCTCGGAGAATTGCGACAACCACGGCACTATATTTAACATGGTAGACATTCTGTTGCAAGGATCAGCATAAAAAATGGTTCACAGTTTTCATCACCACCACGGGTTGTAAGTACAATATTTAACAATTAAAGGGCGGGGATTAAGGAACTCCTTTTATCGTGTTGTGTTTTGTTCTAATTAATTTGTTTGTGTGAAATAGAACGATAATTGTTTATCAATAATGTGTACCACACGTGTTTATTTTTCTTCCATATTTGTTTTTAACATCTGACGGTATTAATACAATCAATGTAATTAAAACTCAAATCAATGGAATACAATAGTCATAAATAATTGAAAATGTTTAAAGTTAAATAAATTGGTATTTTCAAAAACACACAGCGCTAATACAAAAAAAAATGTCCTTTCTGATTTTATTTGAGAAGTAATCTGTATTTGACACAGTATATATATGGTTTAATTAATTGAAACATATCATTTTTGGATATTTTTGTATATAACATTACCGTATGGATACATAAAAAGGGGCAAGGGGTAATGTCAATGGTTCTTATTTGTAAATAAGGTTGTATGCATGTTTAAATCATATATGTATATATGTACAGATTATTCAGATTTATGTCTGACATCGTTAGGCCACGTTTGTTGGTTTTCACTTGTTTTGCATCAAGTAACACAGCCAGACAGGTAGAAAACACAAACACACAAACAAAAACACACACATAAACACAATATTCATTACATTTTGACGCCATCTAAAGACATTGCAATTGGTTTTGTTTAACAATTGTATGTACCAAATAACAAAGCACATTAGATTGTTTTATTTTTATCCACAAGTTATGTAGGATATACAAGAGAGCTTGGATAGAGCTGACAAAAACATAGATCAATGGGCTAAACTTTAAACAATAAAGATATGAAGACCACCTCCAAGACCCTTATACAAATGACTTCATTCAAAGGTCTGAAGACTACATCAAATAAAAAAAAAATATCGTCATTTTCAAAAGATTTCCTGAAATAATAGTGAGAGTTTCTTTTTTTCACCTTGACCTCCGAAAAGCTATCAGCAATCGAACGAACGAAAACACGATGCATTACAACTTTTGACTGAGCATTTATATAAATATGGTAATATGAAATCTAAAATATACACATGTATTTTGTAAAATCAAAAGGCTACTACATGTAATAGAAACTAAAGTTACAAAAACCTTACCATTCCTCACCGTAGACAATCATATAGCTGGCCATCATAAATCAATCTGAAAACAGTCATCTGAATTCAAGTTTATTTCTGTATTTATACATATATATTGTTGTCCTACGGCACCATAAAGGAAACATATACATACAAGTTCATTGCGTTGTTGTCCTAAGCCACCACTAAGTATACTCATACAATCAAGTTAATTGCTGTACCTGTACATATTGTCCTAAGCTACCAAAAAGTCTACATATACAAAAAAGTTTATTGCTGTACCTGTACATATTGTTGTCTTAGGCCACCATAAAGTCTACATATACAATCAAATTTATTGCTGTACCTGTACATATTGTTGTCCTAAGACACCATAAAGTCTACATATACAATCAAGTTAATTGCTGAATCTGTACATATTGTTGTCCTAAGCCACCATAAAGTCTACATATAAAAACAAGTTAATTGCTGTACCTGTAGATATTGTTGTCCTAAGCCACCATTAAGTCTACATATACAAACAAGTTAATTGTTGTACCTGTAGATATTGTTGTCCTAAGCCACCATTAAGTCTACATATACAAACAAGTTAATTGTTGTACCTGTAGATATTGTTGTCCTAAGCCACCATTAAGTCTACATATACAAACAAGTTAATTGTTGTACCTGTAGATATTGTTGTCCTAAGCCACCATAAAGTCTACATATACAAACAAGTTAATTGCTGTACCTGTAGATATTGTTGTCCTAAGCCACCATTAAGTCTACACATACAATCAAGTTTATTTTCTATCTGTCCATATTGCTGTCCTTACGCAACCTGAAGTCTACATATACGAACAAACTTATTACTGTATCTGTACATATTGTTGTCCTAGGGTACTCTAAACTCTACATATACAAACAATTTAATTGCTGTATCTGTACATATTGTTGTCCTAAGCCACCATTAAGTCTACATATACAAACAAGTTAATTGCTGTACATGTACATACTGTTGTCTTCAGCCACCATAAAGTCTTCATATACATACAAGTTTATTACTGTATCTGTACATATTTTTGTCCTAGAGCACTCTAGACTCTACATATACAAACAATTTAATTGCTGTACCTGTACATATTGTTGTCCTAAGCCACCATAAAGTCTACATATAAAATCAAGTCATTGCTGTACCTGTACATATTGCTGTTCTAAGGCAACATAAAGTCTACATATACAGACAAGATTATTGCTGTATCTGTACATATTGCTGTCCTAGGCCACCATAAAGTCTACATATACAAACAAATTTGTTGCTGTATCTGTTCTTATTGCTGTCTTAAGCCACCATTCAGTCTACATATACAACAAGTTTATTGCTGTACATGTACATACTGTTGTCTTCAGCCACCATAAAGTCTTCATATACATACAAGTTTATTACTGTATCTGTACATATTTTTGTCCTAGAGCACTCTAGACTCTACATATACAAACAATTTAATTGCTGTACCTGTACATATTGTTGTCCTAAGCCACCATAAAGTCTACATATAAAATCAAGTCATTGCTGTACCTGTACATATTGCTGTTCTAAGGCAACATAAAGTCTACATATACAGACAAGATTATTGCTGTATCTGTACATATTGCTGTCCTAGGCCACCATAAAGTCTACATATACAAACAAATTTTTTCTGTATCTGTACATATTGTTGTCCTAGGCCACCATAAAGTCTACATATCCAAACAAGTTCATTGCTGTACCTGTACATATTGTTGTCCTAAGCCACGACTAAGTCTACGTATACAATCAAGTTTATTGCTGTACTTGTAGATATTGTTGTCCTTAGCCACCATTTAGTCTACACATACAACCAAGTTTATTTGCTGTATCTGTTCATATTGTTGTCTGAATCCACCATTACGTCTACATATAAAAACAAATTTGTTGCTGTACCTGTACATTTTGTTGTCTTAGGCCATCATAAAGTCTACATATACAATAAGTTTATTGCTGTATCTGTTCATATTGTTGTCTTAATTCACCATTACGTCTACATATAAAAACAAATTTGTTGCTGTATCTGTTCTTATTGCTGTCTTAAGCCACCAGTCAGTCTACATATACAACAAGTTTATTGCTGTACATGTACATACTGTTGTCTTCAGCCACCAAAAAATCTTCATATACAAACAAGTTTATTACTGTATCTGTACATATTTTTGTCCTAGAGCACTCTAAACTCTACATATACAAACAATTTAATTGCTGTATCTGTACATATTGTTGCCCTACGCCACCATTAAGTCTACATATACAAACAAGTCATTGCTGTACCTGTACATATTGCTGTTCTAAGGCAACATAAAGTCTACATATACAGACAAGATTATTGCTGTATCTGTACATATTGCTGTCCTAGGCCACCATTAGGTCTACATATCCAAACAAGTTCATTGCTGTACCTGTACATATTGTTGTCCTAAGCCACGACTAAGTCTACATATACAATCAAGTTTATTGCTGTACTTGTAGATATTGTTGTCCCAAGCTACCATTTAGTCTACACATACAATTAAGTTTATTTGCTGTATCTGTCCATATTGCTGTCTTAAGCCACCATTAAGTCTACATATACAAACAAGTTTATTGCTGTATCTGTCCATATTGCTGTCTTTAGCCACCATTAAGTCTACATATACAACAAGTTTATTGCTGTACCTGTACATATTGTTGTCCTAAGCCACCATAAAGTCTACATATACAATCAAGTCATTGCTGTACCTGTACATATTGTTATCCTTAGGCAACATCAAATCTACATATACAAACAAGTTTATTGCTGTACTCTATATATTGCTGTCCTAGGCCACCATAAAGTCTACATATACAAGCAAGATTATTGCTGTATCTGTACATATTGCTGTCCTAGGCCACCATTAAGTCTACATATACAAACAAGATTATTGTTGTATCTGTACATATTGCTGTCCTAGGCCACCATAAAGTCTACATATATATATACAAACAAATGTATTGCTGTATCTGTACATTGTGTTGTCCTAGGCCACCATAAAGTCTACATATACAAACAAGTTTATTGCTGTATCTGTACATATTGCTGTCCTAGGCCAACATAAAGTCTACATATAATAACAAATTCATTGTTGTACCTGTAGATATTGTTGTCTTAGGCCACCATAAAGTCTACATATACAAACAAGTTTATTGCTGTATCTGTACATATTGTTTTCCTCAGCCACCAGAAAGTCTACATATACAAATAAGTCCATTGCTGTTTCTGTACATATTGTTGTCTTAAGCCACCATTAAGTCTACATATACAAACAAGTTCATTGCTGTACCTATACATATCGCTGTCCTAGGCCACAATAAAGTCTACATATACAAACAAGGGTATTGCTGTATCTGTACATATTGTTTTCTTAAGCTATCATTAAGTCTACATATACAGACAAGTTCATTGCTGTACATGTACATATTGTTTTCCTAAGCCTACATAAAGTCTACGTATACAAACAAGATTATTGCTGTATCTGTACATATTGTTGTCCTAAGCCACCATTCAGTCTTTATATACAACAAGTTCATTACTGTATCTGTTCCTGTAGAGATAAGATAATAAAATAACATTTATAAATTACGAGCGTCCATTCTTGATTTACTTTCATTAGTAACGCTCGAACGCAAAAATTTGAAACCCAAGGATGTATAAGGGAGCTACCATTTGAATTTTATGGGGGGCTAGGATGACAAATTTTGTCCTGCATTTTTTTTAGTTGTAATCTCTGTCCTGCCTTTTTATTTTTCACCCTATTCGGTCCTGCTTTTTTTTTTACTAGTTTATCCTGACTTTTTTTTACATAAATTGTCATCCTGTCTTTTTTTTTTTTT